AGTAAGAGATGGCATGTAGTGTTGCGAGTGTTTCGATTGACAACTTTTAATTGAAGAAACTATTGAGTAAGTTTTTTATTGACAGTTTTAGATACAGTAGATCAGGGTTCACTCAAGGAATTTTCTGACATGGGCCCTTCATGTGAAAATTTCAAATATTCCCAAGGTACAGCACAATGTTAAAATGCCCATTGTATTTGAAAATGTGGGCCTAGAATTCTCCCTGGTAGATAATTTTATTCAAGCAATATGACTTTTCAATGTTAGTAGGTGAAAATGAGAGTGTCAATGCAGATAAAACTATTGAAAGATGTATGCTATTTTCAATCGCGTTGAATTAATGTTGATGCAATATCTATGACAACTATGCGAGAATAAAGCAGAATCGCAGCCTAAGTCAACCCCGGACTGTCCAATGATGGATATCCACTCACTGACAGGTGATAACAATACCTCACTGATGCAAATGTGTCCATAACAGACTGGAGACATAACAGCTGGATAATCAAGGATGTTCATCCCTGGAATTGCCACTAAACCCTAGTGGATACTGGGAAACTGATGAAGTAGAAATAACAGCCATTTGTCAGAACATCAACACGTTTATCAAGACACAGTAACTAATAAAAGTGGCACAGGTGGATGTGTGGCCAGCAGGGTCTAAGGTGTCATGATTCTCTATGAAGAGTTGCCTCCCTTAGGCATGTCTCAACCCCATGATTTTGGGTTCAAATCCCAAACTCAACCTGACTATGTTTCTAGGTTTGTCGTCTTCAAACCACACTTGTGGGTTTCACCAAAGAGGTAACTGTCCAAGATCTGCATCACTTTATGATAAAGAAACTGTTCAAGACATCTATACATAAACTGCCCATTGATATAAGTCACATGAAGCATGAATCTTTGGCAGGCCTTATTTGGTGCATTTCATAAGGTAAGGATACAAAGGAACACACATCTCAATTTCTTCAACTGTCAATTCTTTGGAAGTCTGTCTCACAGTTCCTGAATCATATTATATTCCCTTTCAACCAACCCATACTGTCGCGCTATAGCACTAAATGAAGCAAGTCTAGATTTTCCACAGGTTCAGGATCTGAACCTCCCATCTCACAGGGGCTCCTTTTCAGTTGAATGGAGTTGCTTGTTTCTATCAAAATTTTATGTTTTCAGAGACTAAGCATTAGTCCAATACTTTGGGGCAATAGAAAGATGTGATGCAGGCTGTTTTGTAGTGAAGCATGCAGGAATAAAAACCTAATAATTAATTTTATCATAGTCATAAGATACATCTACTCTGAATATAAAATGCTGTGAATGTTTCATAACCAATCTCTGACAAAGAGAACATAGTTCAAATGAAATTATATTTGCTTCAACTAAATAAACACTGATTGGCGTATAGTCAAGGTATTGACATGGTGATTCTAAAACGCTGCAGCTGTTGCTGAGGGCAGCATCACATGCCTTATTGTTACGCTGTGCGAATGATATCGCACATCACGTGTGGGGAATCAATCACTCATCTCTACAACATCGGCAAACACCTGTTACTTTGATCACATTAGACCCGAAGCAGCCTGTCTCATCTCTGTAGCACTATGCTGATGTGGGAAAATGTTGATATTCTGTTTTGTGACATAAGGACCTGCGTCTGCTCTTCTCTAACCAGGGATAAAAATGTTTCCATTTTCAAGTGTGCCACAGGCTTTCATTAAGATGTTTAGTGTGCCCTTTGGAAGTTAAGAGTATATATTATGATCACATTTTGTAATCATCATATTTGCAGAAATAATAACATTATGATAACTGTATTCATTGTAATGTTGTTTATAGATTTTCCATGCTAAAATACATTTGCATGGACAAACAAATATCCCAAAACTAGTTCCCCTTTAAAGATATCTGTGGGTGTTTTGTAATCACTGCATGACTCCATGTTTCTGTTGTTTAACAAATGATGGCGGCCTGTAAATAATCGAGTAAGTTAGTGAGTATGGTTTTACACCACTTTTAGCAATATTCCAGGAATATCACAGCGAGAGACACCAGAAATGGGCTTCACACATTGTACCCATGTCGAGAATCGAACCTGGGTCTTCGGCGTGACGAGTGAACGCTTTAACCACTAGGCTACCCGACTGCTCCTGTAAATAATCGAGTCTGGACCTGCGAAACCAGTGGTCATTACTGTGAGCAATATTCCACAATGGAGGGTAGGATGACATGCCGTCATCCTAGTCACTGAGTCTGACCACCTGATCCATTCGGTCACCTCATATGACCAGTATAGGTTGCTGGGGACCTAATTTAACCCAGTATTCCTGTGTGCGCTATTATTATCATAAAGTAGTATTAAGAACACTAAACACAAATAACCTATCTTTTCACAACTGATACACAGAAAAGTGTTTTAACTGTATATTTTAAGTCATTAAGTTGCAGACAAAGCATCAAAGACAGCATCATATATTACAAAAAGTACATTGAAATTCGATCTTAGGACTAGTCATGTATTTCTCATGGAATTTCCCGAAGTGAATGAAAGTACGCCTGCAACGTCCATTAACTAAAGCTTTCAAGACTAATCTGCCAACAGCTATTACTTTTAGTACTACATGTGGTTAAGCTGTTGGTAGGGCCAGAGACTCTTCATTTTCAGACTGAAACTGCAGTACTCTAGACTTGCAGACTATTACAGACTTGCATGGGCTGTATTGGGTATATTTGTTTCAGGGTCTGTATGACAGACTAGTAGGCTTGATGTGAAATGTTCACATTAAACCCACTAAAAGCATCGCTACCAACCAGACTTTGCACACAAACAGTAATTACTACTGTTAAAGAGACCTCAATGAGTGAGACTGACATGTCCGAAGTAGTTGCAAGGGTGACCTGAGACAGTGTCCTGCACATGTCCTGCACATGGCTGCCAGTTGTGCATATTGTGCACGTCTTGCCTGCAAAGGCAAACTCCCTGTCAAAAATATTAAAATCTTCCCACGCCAACCTAGCGCCTACAAATGTGCCCCTGCACATCTTCAACATGATCAGCACATCTGAGTTTCTCTGTAACTTAAGAGGTGGTTGGATAGCCTATAATGGTTACAGTATTAGAAGAACCTGGTTCGATTCCCCACCCCAGTGTACAATGACTTAAGCTCATCTTGTCTGTGCTATGATATTGTAGCGGCCATAAAATTTCCGAGTCCCGTGATGGGATTCGAACCACGGACCTTCTGATCCGAGGTCGGACGCCTTGTCCACATGACCAAAGAGGTTAACCCCGTCAGCAAGCCGACAAGGTAAGGATGTCATCTGTGGGATGACTCCATGCCCTGCTACACACTCCCTCGTCAACTGAAGGCATGTCCCGGCCGCATAGAAGGGTACTGAGGCTTATTTTGCTCAAATTTAAAATGAACGTGCTCAGCCCCACGTTGGGCGCCAATGTAGTGGCCATAAAATTTCCGAGTCTGGAGATGGGATTCGAACCACGGACCTTCTGATGCGAGGTCGGACGCCTTGTCCACATGACCAAAGAGGTTAACCCCGTCAGCAAGCCGACAAGGTAAGGATGTCATCTGTGGGACGACTCCACACCCTGCTACAATATAATGGAATAAACGCGAAAAGCATTGTAACATGAGTAAAGTTTCCCACGGTAGTAACAAGAGTAAAGTTTACCAGGGTAGTTACATGAGTAAAGTTTACCAGGGTAGTTACATGAGTAAAGTTTACCAGGGTAGTAACATGAGTAAAGTTTACCAGGGTAGTTACATGAGTAAAGTCTACCACGGTAGTTACATGAGTAAAGTTTACCACGGTAGTTACATGAGTAAAGTTTACCACGGTAGTTACATGAGTAAAGTTTACCAGGGTAGTAACATGAGTAAAGTTTACCAGGGTAGTAACATGAGTAAAGTTTAGCAGGGTAGTAACATGAGTAAAGTTTACCAGGGTAGTTACATGAGTAAAGTCTACCACGGTAGTTACATGAGTAAAGTGTACCAGGGTAGTTACATGAGTAAAGTCTACCACGGTAGTTACATGAGTAAAGTTTACCAGGGTAGTTACATGAGTAAAGTTTACCAGGGTAGTTACATGAGTAAAGTTTACCAGGGTAGTAACATGAGTAAATTTTACCACGGTAGTAACATGAGTAAAGTCTACCACGGTAGTTACATGAGTAAAGTTTACCAGGGTAGTTACATGAGTAAAGTCTACCACGGTAGTTACATGAGTAAAGTTTACCAGGGTAGTAACATGAGTAAAGTTTACCAGGGTAGTTACATGAGTAAAGTTTACCAGGGTAGTAACATGAGTAAAGTTTACCAGGGTAGTTACATGAGTAAAGTCTACCACGGTAGTTACATGAGTAAAGTTTACCAGGGTAGTTACATGAGTAAAGTTTACCAGGGTAGTTACATGAGTAAAGTTTAGCAGGGTAGTAACATGAGTAAATTTTACCACGGTAGTAACATGAGTAAAGTTTACCCTGTTCACACAAACACTGATAACTGATTGGTTATGGGGGATAATACGTGTCTACTTTGATGAAACACACTCCTGTCAAAAACTGTATGCATATTGTATATCAACCGTGTCAATCGCTGATAATAACTGAAAAATCTTCAAAGAAAATAAATAGATATATCTTCAATGGGAATATCTATTTTCGAATATATGCTAAATGTCATTAACTGAGGAGTAAATTTTCCATGTCATTTACATCGAAATGTATCGATTGACGTTGTGACACACTGACATGACACTGTGTGCCACCCCCAGTTGTGTAAAGACGTGTCGCTGAAATAAAAATGAAACTGCACTGGTTATTTAGGTGGTAATCAACAATTCAAACAAATTGATAAATTGACTTACATGTGTGGCAAACATTGCTTCTGTGTTTAAGATCCATTCGTACAAATATCTGGGACATCTTTACCGCAATCAGATTGACCCCGCGGTTCGGTCTAGTCACATGAGAGTCATGTGACCTAGTACAACATGGAGGAAATGGGAGTTCGGACTTCGTACTTCCCTCCTTCTCGTGCGCTATGCATGGTTTCTGTTCTTGACACAATTATGTGCGTGTGGACGGATTAGATAAAGACGTCAAAATGTATACTGTCACCAGATATGTCTTATTTTTTATGTGTGTGTTGCCGAAAGTCCTAAGTGCAAAGACAAGGAATGTTTTGGTGATTGTAGGTAAGCTTCAAACAATATATACATCACCACTTTGTTATGGAAATGACGTTGATGATTGAATAGATTGTAGTAATTCTACTCAGCGTGGTTTATTCATTTCTAGTACATTTGTAGACACATTTCAAAACATCGTGCTTCATTTGGAGGAAGTACATACAGGAGAGTGGCAGTTAACCCTCTACTCTGGGCATCCGGTATACCACTTAATTTGTCTTGGCATCCAGTTTAAACAACACCAGGGTCTTACCAGTGCTCACAGCTAGCACAAGTAAATTAGATTTGGATTTCCACGTAGAATGCATGGCCATGCGTCCTCATACATGGAGCTTAATTATGACTAAATAATGTATTGTTATTCACTCTTTGCAAAAAAAGTGAAGAAATTTGAGCATTGAAATATTGGCATCTGTGTAGCAGAAAAACATTTCATGGCATCCAGCGTACTGCACTGCAGCATCCATAATACCACAGTTCGGCAGGGGGGTTGATATCTTCATAGAGGGACTATATGATCTACAGTCTGCTGCTAGGGCTGGGACGAGTCCAAATTTACTACCGGCGTACCCAACCCCCTATTACCCGACCCTATCTGGGTACCCGCTGTAAATCTCAAGAGCTAGGTACAAACTGTCCGATTGGGAAAAGTTTGACTGTAGCCCTGGCAAAATGTGTTTAGATACACGTATAAAACAATCTGGTGTATACACTAAACTTGACTTAAGTTTTATTTTTTTCAAACATAAAAAAGTCAGAAGGAATAGGTTGCTGGGGACCAATTCTAACCAAGAATCGCCATGGGAACACTATCCAGTGTAGATATAGAACTATTTATGTTTGAAACTGAGGGCACAGTCACTGTGTAATATTAGAGTAATCGTGGATTAATATATTTACCCCTCACTGTATGTTTCCTAGGTGATGATGCAGGTTTTGAGACACAGGTCTACAACAACTCAGTGTGTCGCACCCCCAATATCAACAAACTAGCCGCCCAGAGTGTCGTCTTCAAGAATGCCTTCACTTCCGTCAGCAGCTGCTCACCTAGCAGGTACCTTCACAGAGACATAAAGATATTCCCAGAGACATAAAGACATTCCCAGAGACATAAAGATATTCCCAGAGACATAAAGATATTCCCAGAGACATAAAGATATTCCCAGAGACATAAAGATATTCCCAGAGACATAGAGACATTCCCAGAGACATAAAGATATTCCCAGAGACATAAAGATATTCCCAGAGACATAAAGATATTCCCAGAGACATAAAGATATTCCCAGAGACATAAAGACATTCACAGACATATAAACAGACAGACAGTTTATTCAGTATTTTAGGCATCAAGGCCCATAGTTCAATGCAGATTGGATATTATCATTGTCACGTGATGTACATGATCAGATTTTATATCAAGTTACACATTCCTCATTTTAAGGACATGTTTTAAGAATACAGAAACAGCATGGATCATATCAGGATTTTCAGAGTTTAGCAGATTTATCATTAACTGATGGTCTTTAAAAGTACCTTGCAACATGGGGAGAAATTTATACCTTAAATGGGAATACTTTTCACATATATGAAGGACATGGTATTCATTCTCTACTTCTCGGGATGAACATTTTGTACAAATAGAATTCACAATATCACCGTCTTTGGACCTGCGACATATATTTACATTAAAATTATGCAATGAAATTCTAAGTTTACAATAAGCTCTGATTAAACGTTTATCATTTAAACAAGTTAAATATCTTTCAGTTTGTAACAATGATTTTAATTTGCTGTAATTGCTGAGATAAAGTGATTCAGAAATACTTTAAGACAATTACAGATACATAAACATGATAAAGACAATCACACACAAATATATACATTCGCAGACACATAAAGAGATTCACAGAGACATTCACAGACACATAAAGGCTTTTACAGACACATGTATGAATTCCTTGACACATATACATTCACCAGCACATATGCATTCACTGACACATAATTCATATGTTAAATCCAACTCACTCACTCACTCCCTTTTAGATTTATTTTGGAAACAGAACTGCCTCCAGGGTAATTGTACCTATGTGGGGAATCAAATCTGATCTCCAGCATAACAAGCAAATCTACTACATGTAATACTTACTACTTGTACGAGGCTACCAAGCGTCAATCATCGTAGTATGTAATAGTACTTGTGTTCAGTATACGACTGTTGCTGTAAGTGTAAGTGTATAACAGATCCGCCATCTTGATTAAGGTAAGGATATGTATCATTCCACTCGGGATGGGGTGGAAGTGTTGCATTGGTATTGAGTCGCATTTTTGGCAAGGTGTCAATCAGCAGTGGTATTAATTTGGAGACGCATTAATTTCAAGATTTACAGAATTAAGTATACGACTGTTGCTGTAAGTGTAAGTGTATGACAGATCCGCCATCTTGACGGGTCTGCCGCAGCACCAGAACGGCATGTACGGCCTGCATCATAGCGTGCATCACTTCATGTCCTTCGACGAGGTGCAGAGTCTGCCAAGGATTTTGACTAATGCTGGTATCAGGACAGGTGTGTATAGCAAGGAAACACAGTTCACTGACATTGGAAGTACTGTCTTGATTATAGTAGGCCAAACATATTTGTTGCTTAATCATGCATCTGCTTGTTTCCAGTATTTTAAAAGTGAAAGATAAAATATGAATTAGAATTTCTTTATTTCTGGTAAAGTTTTATTTTAACATTAGGATAAGCAAAGACGTATGACAACATGATGTATAAGGTTTATTTGCAACTACTGTAGAATGTGTAAAAATAAGAATGTTTGGAATAAAAGAAAGGGATATTCTATATTGCATTATAGCTAAAATGGATAGAATTATCATTAAACCGCCCGCACGTTATCAGAAATGAGTGGGCCACTGTAACTTGATAATGCCCTCATAATGCTTGACGACGGGCCATTATCAAGCCTGTTGTGAGGTGACGTCATAAGGTAGAGAAAGTGACGTCACGTATTGTAGTGACGTCATCTGGTTTGTTCTATGACGTTTCCATGTTTGTAAAATGGGGTCAGTGACATTCGTGTTGATTGCAAAAATTTTAAAAACCGATGTTGTTGTTTCTTTTTATTTGATAACAAATTCCATCCATTTTAGCTATAATAACGATAACGCTATTTTTCAGGGCATTATCATATGCAGAAGCCCTTGGTCTTTTCAACTGCCCTCCTTCGTCGGGCAGTTAATGGAAAACCTCGGGCTTCTGCAAATGATAATGCCCTGAAAAAAAGCGTTATCCTTATAGTAACATCTTTATCTGAAGAAAAGCTGTTTGTGTGTTAAAAAGGCCAATTATGAAAGCATTTATAAAGGCCATGCTAGAGTACAGTTGTGTATTATAAGTGTGAACTATCCAGGGTATAATTGTCATTTGTATTGTTTTTCTTTAAAATCCAAGTTTTCAAATCAAGAGATGGAGCCAATTGGTTTCAGAAAGCTGATACAGTAGAACATGGATATAACAAACTACAAGGGACTGGAGAAATCAGTTTGTTATACACATTGTTCGTTATATACGTTTCCACTCGGAAACGACCGCCATCTTGGCTAAAACAAAACACGAGACACATACACGTTTATACACGTGTCCTTCTGCATCTACCAGTGATTCAGTTAAAAAGTACCCAATGATTCAACTTAAAAACAAATAAATGCACAGCTCGGAAGAAATTGTATATGAAATTATTACTTTATGAGAATAATATATTCCAATATCGTGTTATTTTAGTTACAGCTTTCACTATATATATTTAGAATTATAAGAACCCTAAGCATAGCACTTTGGGATTGTCGGGGATCAGATATCAGTTCACTATATATGTTAGTTCACTGTAGAGAGTTTGTTATCTACGTAAATTTTATATGATAATATATAGGAGATAAATCAGGGATTTTTTAACAGTTCGTTGTATCCGTTTTTTTCGCTCTATCCATGTTCGTTATATCCGTGTTCTACTGTACCTGGATTGGCTCAAGAACCTGTGCATCCTTCCTTTAGATTGGGTTCAAACTTTGCTTGGAGCTCACCCTCCTATGGAAGCACTACTTTCAACATTTTTTATGTTCATCTCTTGTGTTTGTTTCACTACAGGCATTGTGGGCAAGAAGCATGTAGGTCCCGAGCCAGTGTACCCGTTTGACTTCTCCCAGACGGAAGAGAACCACCCGATCCTGCAGGTTGGACGTAACACCACGTTCATCAAGCAGTACGTCCAGGAGTTCCTGGCAGTCAATGACACAAGGTGGGTTACGAAATAATACCCATGTACCCTTGAGGCCTAGTAATGTTTGATATTTGAAAATGCGCATTTCATTGATTCTCAATGACCCCAGATCTCAGTCTGATCTCTATCTGAAGGTATCGTATTGGAGTAAAGGATCTGATGTTAATGTAGACACTACTTCCTTACATCACCTATGAATAATTACATTTTCGTTGTGTTCATTGAAATTCCTGCATTCTGATTAGCTGAATTGGTCACTTGTTCTTGCATTCATTTCCCAATGAATGCAAAAGATTAAGCTACGCCCACCTAGCACACTACTTTTATTACTGAGGAATGTCGGGGAATCCCAATATTACAGTAGAGGGAATTCCCTTTCTGCTCACTTGTAATGTCATGCACAGGACATTTAGCAACATTCATGCATATTCATTGTCCAAACTACCCTTTGAAACCGAAGGCTGAGAATGAATGAAACACCAAAGGTGCAGGCTCGCTCACCTGTTTTTTCCCCGCTCGCCTCGGTTCAACTTTCATGTCTTCAGATTTCATTTCTGACTAGCATTTTTCCAACTGTGTTTTCCCGTTTTCAGCAAAGTAATGTTTGAATCTGGTGGTAACTTACCATGTTATTTGAAACAGCTGCCTACTCCCGGACTTATTTCTTCCCGTTCATTACAGTCTGACTGTTGTAGTTCTTCTCGCCTCTTGCCTTAATTGACAGGTTCAATGAAAATTGTTTTGATCCTACTCTCCCTTGATTGGCTACTGACTGTGTAGGCATGTCAAGTTATGTGCATAAATTAATCGATCAGCTGATTCATGTCACGCCACAGTAGATATTCCTATACATCTCGTCATTTTTGTCTGTTTTGATATATACAACAGTTTTTGGTTAAACTATTTTAGATAAAACATGTTTTACGTTGTCGAATTTAATCATAAGCATTGACTGTATTTTTTTTGGTTCATATATACACGGATTCATACAGTTTGCACATTGGTTTTTCGATTCATACCTCAATGAACCGAAAAAATACAAAGTCAATCCTTAAATGCATTCAGGCGAAATGCAGTGGTAGTAGTGAATCACGTCTATTTTTAGTCAAGTAATGACATGAGGCTGTGGTAGTCAAACTCAGTACAGGAATATTGTGCGAACCCTACCTTTGCCCGATCCTGATACTGAAGCAACGTACAAAGAAGGTGGATGCAAGAAATATGCATGAAATATGCATGTAATCTGAGACCTCAGTGTGTGAGAGCACATGCTGGTTTCCCCTTCGCTAGAACCAGGCTGTAGCTTGGTTCGTCTATTAAAAAAACCGACAACACAAAGTGTCCATATGTATTCATGGGTGATAGAGGAATGCAGTGTATACAAACCTGGGAAGTACTGACAATGTTGAAAGCTTTGTGTTTGAATTTCAGACCATTCTTTCTGTACATTGGTTTCCATGACCCCCACCGTTGTGGCAGCACCCAGCCTCAGTATGGGCAGTTCTGTGAGAAGTTTGGTAATGGGGAACCAGGAATGGGTTTGATCCCAGACTGGAAGCCCGTGAAGTACTCTCCTGATGAAGTAGTGGTGCCCTACTTTGTACAAGACACACCAGCTGCTCGGGCAGACATAGCTGCACAGTACACTACTATCAGCAGACTTGATCAGGGTAAGTAACTCTTTGGCAGCAGGCCTGGATCAGGGAAGGTAACTCTTGGAAGGAGAAAGTATCAGGGTAGGTAACTGTTTAGCAGTAGACTGGATCAGGTTAGGCAACTCCTAGTAGTAATATGGATCAGGGCAGGTAACTCTTGGAAATAGAAGGCATAAGGGTAGGCAACTTGGAAATAGACTAATTCAGGGTAGGTAACTCTCAGTAGTAACCTAGATCAGGGTAGATAACTATTTCACAGAAGAGTAGGTAACACCTGGCAATAGACTGGATCAGGTATGTAATACTTAGTAATAGACAGGAACAGGGCATGTGACTCTTGGCACTAGACTGGACCAGGTTAGGTAACTCTATGCAATAGACTCGATCAGGGCAGGTAACTCTTGGAAATAATAAGCATAAGGGTAGGCAACTTGGAAATAGACTAGATCAGGGTAGGTAACTCTCAGTAGTAACCTTGATGAAGGTAGATCAGGCAACAGACTCAATCAGGTATGTAATGCTTAGTAATAGACTGGACCAGGGTAGGTAACTCTTGGCACTAGACTGGACCAGGGTAGGTAACTCTATGCAATAGACTGGGTCAGGGTATGCAATGCTAGTAATAGACAGGAACAGGGTAGGTGACTCTTGGCACTAGACTAGATCAGGCTAGTTAACTCTTGATAGTAGGCTGGATCAGAGTAAGAAACTCTTGTGTAGTCTTGGTCAGGGTAGGTAAGTCTTTGGTAGAAGGCTTGATAGATTTAGAATGAGTATATAACAAGCCCTCTCTCCACTGTGTAAGTATCAGTATAATACAAGCCCTCTCTCCACTGTGTAAGTATCAGTATAATACAAGCCCTCTCTCCACTGTGTAGGTATCAGTATATAACAAGGTGTATCTCCACTGTGTAGGTATCAGTATATATCAAGGTGTTTCTCCACTGTGTAGGTATCAATATATAACAATCCTTATCTACACTGTGTAGTTATCAGTATATAACAATCCGTATCTCCACTGTGCAGGTATTGGCATGCTGATGAAGGAGCTCCAGGAGGTGGGCGTGGCAGATGACACTCTCATCGTCTACACATCTGACAACGGCATCCCCTTCCCCTCTGGCCGCACCAATCTCTACAACCCCGGCATGGCTGAACCAATGTTGGTGTCATCCCCGGCACACAGGGAGCGCTGGGGTCAGGTCAGTCACACCCCACTGCACATGTTACGAGGTTTACAACCATCACTGAAACATGTTTGCCAGTGTATGTGTTTTCTTTAAAATATACTGAAATGTTTCAAAATTCCAATATACTTTTCATCCAGGAAGGTAAAAATTACTATTACTGCTCACCTCACTGTTTTTATTAAAGGTCTCTTGTTCACAACAAATTTTGAGTTCTGAAAATATTGAAAACTTCGCAAAGTGGTCCAGTATTGTGTTGTGGTCCTCAATAGCACCACATTTGTACCACAACCCTGTCTCTGTTTCAGGAGAGCAATGCTATGGTCAGTCTGGTAGACATTGTTCCGACTGTGCTCGAGTGGTACGGCTTACAGTACCCCAACTATGTCCTCAACAAGCAGCCCGTCAAGCTGACAGGGCGATCTGTCCTCCCCATCCTCCTGGCAGAGCCACCAACAGGCTGGACCTCAATCTACGCCAGTCATGACCTGCATGAGGTCACCATGTATTACCCAATGAGAGTTGTCCAGACTACCCGCTACAAGCTCATTCAGAACATCAACTTCAAGATGCCATTCCCAATCGATCAGGACTTTTATGTCTCACCATCATTCCAAGATATCCTGATGCGTACCAGGCAAGGCCAACCCCTACCATGGATAAAGACATTGCGGGAATATTATTACCGCAGTCAGTGGGAGCTGTTTGACCTTGAACTTGATCCAAAGGAAACCAAGAACATGGCTAAAGATGCAGGATATGCAGAGGTCCTGAAGCAGCTGCAGATGGATCTGACTCAGTGGCAGAACGTGACTGCAGACCCCTGGATATGTGCCCCTGGCGGGGTTCTGGAGGCTAAAGGTGCCCACAAACTCAACCCTCAATGCATGCCTTTAGACAACATGCTTGATGAGGACATTCCACAGTTGAGAACAGAGGACCTTTATAACGTCAAGCAGTTGGACACATGACTTGACCTATGGTTTCCACAACATCTACTGGGTCATGGTTCCAAGCCCATCTGTACTCTTGGATTTCACAGAAGTACCAAAAATCTTTCACCTGCATCACCTTCTGTTAATCTTCCCAAGGCAAGGGAGTTATCTGACTAAAAAATTCCAGTTTCCACCCTTGACAAATTAGACTGGAATTCCGGAAGTTATATTTTGGCTGGACTAACAAATCTAAACATAGTTCAATCCTAATCATGTTATGAAATCGACATCCATACGTAAACTGCCATGCAGATTTCTTGTTGATTGTAGGATTTGCAAAGCATTTGTACCAACAGAATATTTTCTAAATCTTTCCACATTTTTAATCAAGGTGCTCAAGCAATTTAATAAGCTTTGCAAGGTAAAACACATTTTATAGCAATATAGATCTATATTATCTGTGAGATCGTCTTGACAGGGAGCAAGCCATTTCGTTTGAAGCAAATGCAATAATGTGATCGGTGGAATCTGATTGGTCAGTTGGAGGGACAGAGAAGGGATATATCCACTTGTAATAGCCACTGGTGGTGTTACAATCGAGCCGCGAAATTCCAGCCTAGTTCGGCAAGGGTGGAAACTGGACCTTTATAAATACTATTCGACACTTGTCCAAGAAGCTGACAATTTCTTCCATACAATCGGGTTGCATATATACCATTATTTTATTTTCATTTGGATGTAAAAATGTTAAAAAAATGTTTCCTGGTGTGGGGTCATGGGTGGACCAGTTGTTAAAGGTGCTGCAGCTTGTTATGTGGAGTTGCATCCCTTAGACGTGTCAGGAATCTATCACCATGGGATACATAGATCTTTTACAATGTACATACTGGTGTATTTTTAAATAAAAAGCAATGAAAATACATCTTTATCATTTGTGTGCAGGTAAACAAACTGGCCGACTTGTCGTAAGAGGCAACTAACAGGATCAGGTAGTCAGGCTCACTGACTTGGTTGATGCATGTCATTAAATCCCAATTGCGTGGATTGATGCTCATGATGTCAATCACTGGATTGTCTGGTCCAGTCTCGATTATTTCCTGACCACCATCATTTAGCTGGAATATTGCTGAGTGTGGCGTAAACAAAAAACAAACAAAAAAAACAAACAAAAAAACTGATCAAGTAAACAAAGTGACAAAGTCAAACTGGTGACCTACTGGTCAACAATTCACTGTGAATAAATGCATCATTTTCACATGTGTAAATGTGAAATTTGATGTACAACGGTGCTAACAATAACCTTATGTTTTGTTGTATTATGATTTTTGTCACAACTTCAACCTTTATGTATGGATGCCAGTAGTTCATCATGAACATGTAACTTGCCCTCTTTAACCATTTATGCATGTATCATGTAATTTAATTTGTTTGTTTGTTTAACGCCCCCCTCAGCAATATTCCAGCTATATGATGGCGGTCTGTAAGTAATCGAGTCTGGACCAGACAATCCGGTGATTGATATCATAAGCATCGATCCACGCAATTGGGATCGATGACATGCATCAACCAAGTCAGTGAGCCTGACCACCCGATCCTGTTAGTTGCCTCTTACGACAAGCATAGTCGCCTTTTACGGCAAGCATGGGTCGCTGAAGACCTATTCTACCCCGGATCTTCAGGGGTTGTAATTTAATTTCTACAATCTTGCAACCCCTATTATGTTTCTTGGTTGGTCAGCACCATACTGTTCATGGGTTTCACTAAAGTGGTAAACTTCTAAAACCTGCATCAATTCAGGCTTTCCTCTCAAATCAAGCTGACACACCATGATTTAACTGGAATAATGTTCAAAGAGGTGTTAAGCTAAACTCACTCAATCTGGCAATCGATCGCCTCTGTTGTCTAGCGACAGAGCGTTCGCCCAGAGAACAGAAGGTCCGGGTTCGATCCCGGCAATATCATACCTAAAAACGTTAAAAGATAGTACTTGGTATCCTGGGTATTATGGGGCTAAACCAAGGACTGGTCGTCTCGGAGTCAGTATGCTGTGTCTGAGTGGGGTAGTCATGTTACACTGATTCATGGTATCTCAATGAGCTAGCACTATAAAATCGGCATCTGTCCTGACTAGTACAAGCACCCACGCGAGACAAACGTTGCTATATAGGTGCAACAATCTTAGAACCAGCATTAAACCCCATTTCACCTCACCTCAACTCAATCTGGCAATAAGGAATATAGTGTTGTCAGTTCTTCCTGTTTTTTTCTGCCAAGTAAGCATTCTGATGCTTTAATGGAGATGAAGCTGGGGAAAATCGTGACTCACACACCACCAATTTGTTAGCTAGGCACATTGTTTGACCTTGAAATTGATGATAACATTAATGTTCAAATAGACCATATGCACCTCGACTAGACATGGGCACCGTGGAGAGTAGTTCCCCCTTTAAGTGGAACCTCCCCATCCTCATGTTCCATAAAATCATTGTAAGGAACAAATTCTTGACTTTCCACACGTGTTGTTTGTAGTTTCTTCCGAATCCGCACGGAGTAGTGACTTCTTGTCATGACAATAAACGCATGCTTCTCCGACAGACTCATGAACCGTCGGTAACTTGTATGAATTGTCTTTACAACGTTCCATCTTTTCAAAGTCTGTAGCAAGACCACGCGTTCCTTGTTCCTCAGGGGCTTGTGACGTGTGTTCATCTCCGGGTGCTGTTTTAGACCTCGAAGACGTATTCAAAATTCTCTTTTCTTCGGAATGGTCGTGGGAATCGACTGGTTCTTCAAAATGCTTTAAGCCATTTGTCAGTTTCCTTTCTGAATTCAATTGTTCATAAACCGTCTCTAAGTCGTGTTCAACATGAACCTGAAGCCGTTCTTCCGTTTCAATCACGTTTTGGTGCAATGTATTGAGGATAGACCGGTCGTGAGTCGTTCGTTCTGGTGACTGTTTTTGAACCCGACGTCGCTCTTTCATTGCAGTGGTTGGTTTTGCATTGCAGGTCTTCTTAATTATTTTCCTTACAAGGGTTGTTTTTGATGAGAGTGATGGTCGCACAAGCTCGCCGTTTTTGAATATGGGTGGTGGTAGAAGTTGCGAGAGGCTGTAGTTGTCAGCAGCCGTAGTGACGGCGTTGTAGATGGAGATGAGACAGTCACGAACGCTTGTGGAATGGTCACCACTGAGGAACAGTCTCGATGTCTGGCCCCATGACCGGACGACTTCATCATGCAGTTTCCAAAGATTCTGAAGAGTTTCATAGACCCCTGTAACCTGTTGAAAATTACCAATTATTTTCATGTATTTATTAACTATCACATCACTATTTTAGAGTAACAACGCGTCAACATCTTTGGTACCAGATGAGATTTTTGTAAAATTTCAATTAAAGTATCTTCATCCAAAACCACAGATCTGTATGGCCAACGCTAAAATGGTACTTAATACGTTTGCATGGATGGTTATAAATATATGGATTCTATATAGTTACAAAAATCATCACATTAAAAGATTGGTTGGTTGGTTTCTTGTTTAACGCCACACTCAGCAATATTCCAGCTGTATGGCGGCGGTCTGTAAAATAATCGAGCCTGGACCAGACAATCCAGTGATTGATATCATGAGCATCGATCCATATAATTGGGATCGATGACATGCACCAACCAAGTCAGCGAGCCTGACCACCCGATCCCGTTAGTCGCCTCTATAGTCTCATTTCACATCAAGCATGGGTTGCTGAAGACCTATTCTACCCCGGATTTTCAAGGGTGATAGCGAATTGTGACCCAGGGCTGACTTGGCTCCCTATGCCCACATCATAGTTATGAGAATCGTGAAATGGAACAGATCGATCATGATATTACATGTGTGACGTTGCTGAATCAAGTCATATACATAACAATAAGATATAATAAGGTTGTAACGAACGACGAATTGTATGCATACAAAATTATAACGAACAGTTGTGCATGATCAATATCCACGCATTAAGTCACAACTGAGGTTTTCTCACCTTCACCTCGTGGAGAATGACATTCCTCAGTAGAAACAACCACATTCTCATGTCGTCAAATTCTTCTAAGATTTCATTACTGAACAAGTACTCCAAGTCTGAAGAGAATGAGTGAATTGAATGAATTGTTGGTTATCGCCGTTCTGTACAGTATTTCATCTATATCAGGGCGTGTAAGACAGTTATCACTTTGGTGAAATTACTAGAACGGTAAAACTGGACAAACCATGGATCATAATCGGGGCGAATTTGAGTTTCGATACAAAGATCAGTGGATCCTGGCACAACTAAGGAACATAACTCTTCAGAACGTATTGCAGCGCCCGAGACAACTGCATGAACATGAACAGTTACAAGCACAGGCCATTTACAGAATATGTTCGATGTTATAAGTTGAGAAAGAATGCGCAATTCTTACTTCACCTTTGCCTAAGAATGAGTGTCTATAACCCAAAGCCATGTATAAAAGATAGTGATCTCATTGTAATATGCGAGCGAGTTTGGTTTTAAGCTGCTTTGAACTGTTTACAGTATTTCAGTTATATCACGGGGTGTCAGCTTGATGTGGGAGGAAGTGATGAAGGTATTAGACGTTTAACACTTTGGTGAAGCCCCCGAGCACAGGTTTGGTGAGGACATATTTACCAATAAACATGATCAGGGAGAATCTGGGCATTGTAACTAAAGATAACAATTCATATTGACTTGCAATGCAGCTGTCAGCATGAACACAGTGGCCTACTGTGTTTAGAGTCATTCAGTATAAATTCGTTAAAACGGGGAAGTAGTAACTCAAACTCCATTACTATACGTATGGTTTAAGATACATCCGGATTCTATAGATACACCATGGTCTGCATCGACACTCCGCCTTTCTCGAAATACGGATAACTCGAACCCTTTTAGAACTTCGTGGAAATGTTTGTCGTAAGATCCGACCGAAATGAGGATCGGGTTGTTATGATGCGGTATCGCTAATCACGGACAACGTGGAACGTTATTCAAACCGATTTGCTATTTTCAGACTACCGTCATTTGGTGAGAATATTGCTGACCGCGGTGCCGAAAGACAGTCACTCAAACTAACCAGATTACAATGTCCAAACAAAACATCTTACCTTTTCTGTGTCTGGCGCCACGCAGCCAGTCTTCTCCACAGTATGTCATACTGGCCTACACGCAGGCATTGCACACATGCGTGTATGTACTCACTTCCCGGTTGATCAGTGCTCCGTGCCCAGGGCGACAGAGGCATGGCTTGTGAATGACGTGCATGTGTAAACTGTCAACCAGAATTCAATATTATCGATCCTACTGAACACTTTTCCAACAGCCGTAGAATGTACCCGTCTCCGTTTCATTATAATTTTACGTACAAAAATATACATTGTAATTATAACACCATGTGAATAGTGTATCAAATACCTAATCAAACCAATATTTGTTTCCAGCGAGTATATCACACAACACGCCACAGTGACGCTGGTCGTTAAAGTCCCCAATATTGATTTGCAATAAGGGCACGCAGTGTATCACATATACCGTTTGTTTGAATGCATTAACACCGTCATTGTTCACCATCTTCTCCATATGTACTGAACATATCACAGAAACCTATGGTTGTGGGTTCGAATCCATGTACGCTCCGATTTTGTTTCTAGGTTTGTCAGCATCATACTCGTTCTCGTTGGTATTATCAAAGTGGTTAACGTCTGAGACCTGCATCATTCGGGGTTTCCTCCCATGTTAATCTGACACGCCGTGCCGGAATGACACGAGTCAATTCGTCACCACCCGCCCCATTCGACCAACTCGTGTTATTCCGGGACAAGCAGGTTACGGAAAGGGGCGAGTGGTGACAAAAGCGACATCTACCGGCTAGACGTCGCTATGACGTCATTAGGCGATATTGTGACGTCACGCCATTGTCTGACATTGTCTCAGCTAGCTACAGCAGCACTGCAGTACGCTCTTCATTTATCGAGATTATCTAAGAATTATGCGAGACAACAGACATCTGACCGTGTCCGAGTGTGAGGGGTTTGATTCCGAGGTGGCAGAGTGTTTTTCACGTACAAAACCGACAGGTATGCGCCGTTATATATCATAACAGCATTACCCTTTTTGGAAACCATACAATCTGTTATAGATTTTTTGAAAGCTCTTGGAAATGTGCATTCGACAGTATCAGTAAAATAAATAAAATTCACCAAAGCTATCACTTTATGGCCATTAGAAGCTATGTAACAAATCAAAATATTCGGTGATTTTCAAGTGTCTATCAGTAGGCCTTTATACCTCAAGACCAATATCCAAAACCTCAAACAGTATGGTATCTGCGGAAAGAGCAGACCATGGGCAGTAATCTGAATACAAGGAAAGGCCTAATTGGGAAATGGGACAAAGAGTAAAAAATAAAAATAAATAATAATTCACGCGCAGACATTGAACCTGACCGAAGTGTGCGCAGAACGTTCCAAATACATTGTTTAGATCCTTGTGGTATTACCTGTGACTCCATACTAGAAACTTGTAATCTGACCTATTTCAAGGGATTGATCCAAAAGGACCCAATTTCCAAACGTGCTTGTTGTAACCCCCAGTTAATTGGATTGATTGGTTATATACCAAATTCGATTATTGCGTTTTCAGAGTTCCACGATTTGGCTCCCAAACACGTCACAATAAAACCAAGCCCTATTCGTCCCGAGCCACCATTCCAATGGGACTGTAGTAAAAAGGACAAACAACTTGGCAAAGAGTTCGAGCTCCACGTGCATCTTACGGCTGTCCTGGTTGAGGTGGACATTCTCCGGGCTGACCTGCGAGATGCACGACTCCGTTCCCAATGTCTGAAACTGAAGAACCAACATCTTCAGAGACAAGCCAGACAACTCTCGGAGGAGAAAGACTCCCTCAGGGAGCAGGTGGATCGCTTGATGAAAGAGGTGGACATGTTGAGTGTTGAAAGACTGTGTGTACATTCAGGAGAGGGAGAGGGTGTTGGACTTGTTCAGAGATCAGGGGCTACACAGACCACGTGCTTTGACCACATTATCCAATCAAAGAATGGAATGCCTCGTGAACAGGACAAAAGGTCAACAAGACATCATGAACTCTCTCAAAGTAGTCTGTCATCAAAGAAACATATGTCATCAAGCACAACCAATTTGATAGAAACTTGTAATCAGAAACAAAATGTACAAAAGTCCAAATCTTTCTTTGGTCGTTTTACAAAACTGTTCAGAAGGAACAAATCATAATGTAATTCAATCCTTTTTAATGATGGTAATAACAATTGTTTCAGTTCAAGAGCATTGTCTTCGTTATTTGTTAACAATGGTTGGTTTTCACTAGTTACAAGAGATCTGCCAACATGTATTGGACATGTGTTCCATTAATTTTAACATATTGACATTGACACCATACAGTCATTCATTCAATCATGAGTAGGTTTTACGCCGCTTTTATATTCCAAGTTTTACGCCGCTTTTAGCAATAATCCAGCAATATCACAGCGGGGTACGCCAGAAATGGGCTTCACACATTGTACTCATGTGGGGAATCGAACCCGAGCCTTCGGCGTGACGATGCAAACGCTTTAATCCACTGGGTTATCTCTATGGACAGTACTTTCGACTGGTTTGACTTGTGTTCGGCGCTATTCTCGCTGCGCTTTGCGACGCAACTCCTATCGGAGGATTGAAGAATGAAAAGCCGAATATCGTATCGAAGAATATACTAAAAGGGCTTCTGTTCTGCTAAAGGCATTGTTATTTATGCAGAAATAAAGATTACCGTGCGTATTTTTTCGTAAACTAACCCGGAAATAACAATCAGCTGTACACACATTTCCTACCAGTCTACAGCGATGATTCGGTTAAAAGATGCCCAATAATATAACTTCAAAGAAAAGTACATTCCTCCAGCAGTTGACATGTCATGGGCCAGTTTTCGGTCAGTTTGAAGAAAACTGCATACAAGGCTTTTGCTACACGTGGTGTTGTAATGGATGGTCTTATTATATTATTATGCTGTATTATACTGTTATATTCTTTGTTCTGTTTTTCTTAATCACCTACAACTGTACAGTTATTATTAATCAAGCGCGAACGCCTTAACCACTAGGCTAGTCATTTGAACCTAATGCATTCAGAACAAGAATACAATACAACATACAAGATATGTTCAACAACTTTAGATGATCCGAGCACTGTGGGGGCATACCATTAGTACTGGCCTTGGTGCCAGTTGAATTGATGCCCACACAAAACATATACATATATATCTTTCATAAATAGTGGACAAAACTCTTTCCATAATCATAAGAAGGTTCTGCTGAAAGCAGAGTCCATTGTACGATTTCGAATGTATTATAAAAATGTATTTCTGAATCACTAATAAATAGTGATGACACCAGATGATGGCGAAAAGGGGAGTATATCCTGCCTCACCGGTCACAAACACACACAAAGGCAAGTCAAGCGTTCTCCTGAACAAAAACGGGAACATATTCATATGTTATCATAAGCTAAGTGAGAATTCTCCAGCCTATTGTATGGTGCTGACAAATCAAGAACCAACGACCAGAGAATTCTGTGTATGGTACGTCTAAGAAGGACGCATGTCTGCACAGCGTGTTGCCGCGCCCTAGACAACTGGTCCATCTGCTATAATCATGAACAGTGCATGTCGTAAAATACCAAGAAAAACGGTTGGAAATTTAAAAGAATAACTGGTCCATGTAATTTTTACTGTTTAAATTGAGACATGAAAGAGTGATTTGGAAGGATGTAAAAGTTTCCATATTTGAGTCACTCAGTGACGTGTATGGAACTAAGAAGTTTGAAGCGATGCTGAGTTTTCATCCTCACAAACGTTTATGAAAAAAAATTTTTTTATCTGACACGCCGCTATTTAACCGAAATTATGTTTAATGCGTCCTTAAAACCCAACTGAATCACTCATTTTACCTGTAACACAGAAGGGACTTTTCAACCCTTAATGGGGTTTTTCAACACTTTCATCTGGCCTTGACCAAACTATTTCCCTGTTGCTTTCCTGCGCAAGCACATGTTTACAGATATAAATACAATTGTGAAATGCCACTGATAGCTCAAAATAAAAAAAAATCTCTTCCAGAAAAGAAATACATTTGAAAAAACACATGAAAATATCGCCAATTCCTTTTACAGCTTTTGGATTGATATTGTTAATAATGATTTGATCTAAGCCCATGATATTATACTAAAGAACAAAGAGCATCTCATGATCATGGTATGTTTCGGCTGTGTACCAATTGGAACACACTCAAGACGAAATATGCCGATATCTTCCGAAGGTATTTTCGCCGAACGGACAGCGACATCTACCGACTAGACGACACTATGACGTCATTAGGCGATATTGTGACGTCACGCCATTGTCTGACATTGTCTCAGCTAGCTACAGCAGCACTGCAGTAGGCTCTTCATTTATCGAGATTATCGAAGCATTATGCCAGTTACCAGACGTCTGACTGTGTCCGAGTGTGAGGGCTTTGATTCCGAGGTGGCGGAGTGTTTTTCACGTACAAAACCGACAGGTGTGTATGCCCTTATATATAATAACAGAGTTCAACTATACAACTTCAATTCTTTAAAACGAAAAGGATTTAAGAACCAACCACTTCATTTGCATCACTTCCTTAATTTTATGCCATAGTTGTATATATGACATCTGATTTACACTTGCCAGTTGGATTGATTCTATACTAAATCCGGTTATTGCTATTTCAGAGTTTCATGATTCGGTTCCCAAATACGTCACAATAAAACCAAGACCAGTCGCCAGGCGTCTGACCGTGTCCGAGTGTGAGGGGTTTGATTCCGAGGTGGCAGAGTGTTTTTCACGTACAGAACCGACAGGTATGTGCCGTTACATATCATAACAGCATTTGACTCTACAACTTTAATTATTTCAATTGAAAAAGTTTTCCGAATAAGCCACTTTATGTTTACCATTTCCTTCATTTTATTCGGTAGATGTATATAATCTGCATGTCCAAGCCTGGTCCAAGCGTTTCCGACCATAATGCTTAGGGGCTGCTCAAGTTACCCTTTTTGGAAACCATACAATCACTTATAGATATATTGAAAGCTCTTGGAAATGTGCATTCGACAGTATCAGTAAAATAAATAAAAACCACCGAAATAATGACTTTATAGCCATTAAAAGCTATGAAAAAATCAAAATATTCGGTTGGCTTTCCAATCTCATTAAAATCAGATCTTAGTTCTCACTACCGCTAAACAAAGCTTTGTTTAGCGGTAGTGAGAACTAAGGTCTGATTTTCAAGTGTCTATCAGTAGGCCTATATACCTCAAGACCAATATCAAAAACCTCTAACAATATGGTATCTGCGGAAGGAGCAGACCATGGGCAGTAATCTGAATACAAGGGAAGGGCCAAGTGGGGAAATGGGACAAAGAGTAAAAAATAAAGATAAATAAAAATCCACGCGCAGACATTGAACCTGGCCGAAGTGAGCGCACAACGTTCCAAATACATTGTTTAGATCCTTGTGGTATTACCTGTGACTCCATACTAGAAACTTGTAATTTGACCTATTTCAAGGGATTGATCCAAAAGGACCCGATTTCCAAACGTGCTTGTTGTAACCCCCGGTTAATTGGATTGATTGGTTATATACTAAATTCGATCATTGCGTTTTCAGAGTTCCACGATTTGGTTCCCAAACACGTCACAATAAAACCAAGCCCTATTCGTCCCGAACCACCATTCCAATGGGACTGTAGTAAAGAGGACAAACAACTTAGCCAAGAGCTAGAGCTCCACGTGCAGCTTACGTCTGTCCTGGTTGAGGTGGACATTCTCCGGGCTGACCTGCGAGATGCACGACTCCGTTCCCAATGTCTGAAACTGAAGAACCAACATCTTCAGAGACAAGCCAGACAACTCTCGGAGGAGAAAGACTCCCTCAGGGAGCAGGTGGATCGCTTGATGAAAGAGGTGGACATGTTGAGAGCTGAAAGACTGTGTGTACATTCAGGAGAGGGAGAGGGTGTTGGACTTGTTCAGAGATCAGGGGCTACACAGACCACGTGCTTTGACCACATTATCCAATCAAAGAATGGAATGCCTCGTGAACAGGACAAAAGGTCAACAAGACATCATGAACTCTCTCAAAGTAGTCTGTCATCAAAGAAACATATGTCATCAAGCACAACCAATTTGATAGAAACTTGTAATCAGAAACAAAATGTACAAAAGTCCAAATCTTTCTTTGGTCGTTTTACAAAACTGTTCAGAAGGAACAAATCATAATGTAATTCAATCCTTTTTAATGATGGTAATAACAATTGTTTCAGTTCAAGAGCATTGTCTTCGTTATTTGTTAACAATGGTTGGTTTTCACTAGTTACAAGAGATCTGCCAACATGTATTGGACATGTGTTCCATTAATTTTAACATATTGACATTGACACCATACAGTCATTCATTCAATCATGAGTAGGTTTTACGCCGCTTTTATATTCCAAGTTTTACGCCGCTTTTAGCAATAATCCAGCAATATCACGACGGGGTACACCAGAAATGGGCTTCACACATTGTACTCATGTGGGGAATCGAACCCGAGCCTTCGGCGTGACGATGCAAACGCTTTAATCCACTGGGTTATCTCTATGGACAGTACTTTCGACTGGTTTGACTTGTGTTCGGCGCTATTCTCGCTGCGCTTTGCGACGCAACTCCTATCGGAGGATTGAAGAATGAAAAGCCGAATATCGTATCGAAGAATATACTAAAAGGGCTTCTGTTCTGCTATAGGCATTGTTATTTATGCAGAAATAAAGATTACCGTGCGTATTTTTTCGTAAACTAACCCGGAAATAACAATCAGCTGTACACACATTTCCTACCAGTCTACAGCGATGATTCGGTTAAAAGATGCCCAATAATATAACTTCAAAGAAAAGTACATTCCTCCAGCAGTTGACATGTCATGGGCCAGTTTTCGGTCAGTTTGAAGAAAACTGCATACAAGGCTTTTGCTACACGTGGTGTTGTAATGGATGGTCTTATTATATTATTATGCTGTATTATACTGTTATATTCTTTGTTCTGTTTTTCTTAATCACCTACAACTGTACAGTTATTATTAATCAAGCGCGAACGCCTTAACCACTAGGCTAGTCATTTGAACCTAATGCATTCAGAACAAGAATACAATACAACATACAAGATTTGTTCAACAACTTTAGATGATCCGAGCACTGTGGGGGCATACCATTAGTACTGGCCTTGGTGCCAGTTGAATTGATGCCCACACAAAACATATACATATATATCTTTCATAAATAGTGGACAAAACTCTTTCCATAATCATAAGAAGGTTCTGCTGAAAGCAGAGTCCATTGTACGATTTCGAATGTATTATAAAAATGTATTTCTGAATCACTAATAAATAGTGATGACACCAGATGATGGCGAAAAGGGGAGTATATCCTGCCTCACCGGTCACAAACACACACAAAGGCAAGTCAAGCGTTCTCCTGAACAAAAACGGGAACATATTCATATGTTATCATAAGCTAAGTGAGAATTCTCCAGCCTATTGTATGGTGCTGACAAATCAAGAACCAACGACCAGAGAATTCTGTGTATGGTACGTCTAAGAAGGACGCATGTCTGCACAGCGTGTTGCCGCGCCCTAGACAACTGGTCCATCTGCTATAATCATGAACAGTGCATGTCGTAAAATACCAAGAAAAACGGTTGGAAATTTAAAAGAATAACTGGTCCATGTAATTTTTACTGTTTAAATTGAGACATGAAAGAGTGATTTGGAAGGATGTAAAAGTTTCCATATTTGAGTCACTCAGTGACGTGTATGGAACTAAGAAGTTTGAAGCGATGCTGAGTTTTCATCCTCAAAAACGTTTATGAAAAAAAAATTTTTTATCTGACACGCCGCTATTTAACCGAAATTATGTTAAATGCGTCCTTAAAACCCAACTGAATCACTCATTTTACCTGTAACACAGAAGGGACTTTTCAACCCTTAATGAGTTTTTTCAACACTTTCATCTGGCCTTGACCAAACTATTTCCCTGTTGCTTTCCTGCGCAAGCACATGTATACAGATATAAATACAATTGTGAAATGCCACTGATAGCACAAAATTAAAAAAAATCTCTTCCAGAAAAGAAATACATTTGAAAAAACACATGAAAATATCGCCAATTCCTTTTACAGCTTTTGGATTGATATTGTTAATAATGATTTGATCTAAGCCCATGATATTATACCAAAGAACAAAGAGCATCTAATGATCATGGTATGTTTCGGCTGTGTACCAATTGGAACACACTCAAGACGAAATATGCCGATATCTTCCGAAGGTATTTTCGCCGAACGGACAGCGACATCTACCGACTAGACGACACTATGACGTCATTAGGCGATATTGTGACGTCACGCCATTGTCTGACATTGTCTCAGCTAGCTACAGCAGCACTGCAGTACACTCTTCATTTATCGAGATTATCGAAGCATTATGCCAGTCACCAGACGTCTGAACGTGTCCGAGTGTGAGGGCTTTGATTCCGAAGTGGCGGAGTGTTTTTCACGTACAAAACCGACAGGTGTGTATGCCCTTATATATAATAACAGAGTTCAACTCTACAACTTCAATTCTTTAAAACGAAAAGGATTTAAGAACCAACCACTTTATTTGCATCACTTCCTTAACTTTATGCCATAGATGTATATATGACATCTGATTTACACTTTCCAGTTGGATTGATTCTATACTAAATCCGGTTATTGCTATTTCAGAGTTTCATGATTCGGTTCCCAAATACGTCACAATAAAACCAAGACCAGTCGCCAGGCGTCTGACCGTGTCCGAGTGTGAGGGGTTTGATTCCGAGGTGGCAGAGTGTTTTTCACGTACAGAACCGACAGGTATGTGCCGTTACATATCATAACAGCATTCGACTCTACAACTTTAATTATTTCAATTGAAAAAGTTTTCCGAATAAGCCGTTTGAGCCGGGTTCAAATGTGCACGCGACAGTATCAGTAAAATAAATAAAATTCACCAAAGTTACCACTTTATAGCCATTAGAAGCTATGTAACAAATCAAAATATTCGGTGATTTTCAAGTGTCTCTTAGTAGGCCTTTATACCTCTAGACCAATATCCAAAACCTCTAACAGTACCGTATCTGGGGAAAGAGCAGACCATGGGCAGTAATCAGAATACAAGGGAAAGGCCTAGTTGGGAAATGGGACAAAGAGTAAAAAATAAAAATTAAAAATAATTCACGCGCTGACATTGAACCTGACCGAAGTGTGCGCAGAACGTTCCAAATACATTGTTTAGATCCTTGTGGTATTACCTGTGACTCCATACTAGAAACTTGTAATTTGACCTATTTCAAGGGATTGATCCGAAAGGACCCTATTTCCAAATGTGCTTGTTGTAACCCCCGGTTAATTGGATTGATTGATTATATACTAAATTCGATTATTGCGTTTTCAGAGTTCCACAATTTGGTTCCCAAACACGTCACAATAAAACCAAGCCCTATTCGTCCCGAGCCACCATTCCAATGGGACTGTAGTAAAGAGGACAAACAACTTGGCAAAGAGCTCGAGCTCCACGTGCAGCTTACGGCTGTCCTGGTTGATGTGGACATTCTCCGGGCTGACCTACGAGATGCACGACTCCGTTCCCAATGTCTGAAACTGAAGAACCAACATCTTCAGAGACAAGCCAGACAACTCTCGGAGGAGAAAGTCTCCCTCAGGGAGCAGGTGGATCGCTTGGTGAAGGAGAGGGACATGTTGAGAGCTGAAAGACTGTGTGTACATTCAGGAGAGGGAGAGGGTGTTGGACTTGTCCAGAGGTCAGGAGCTACACAGACCACGAGCTTTGACCACATTGTCCAGTCAAAAAATGGAATGCCTCGTGAACAAGACAATAGGTCAACAAGACATCATGAACTCTCTCAAAGTAGTCTGTCATCAAAGAAACATATGTCATCAAGCACAACCAATTTAATAGAAACTTGTAGTCAGAAACAAAATGTACAAAAGTCAAATTCTTTCTTTCGTCGTTTTGCAAAACTGATCAGAAGAAACAAATCATAATGTAATTCAGTCCTTTTTAATGATGGTAATAACAATTGTTTCAGTTCAAGAGCATTGTCTTCGTTATTTGTTAACAATGGTTGGTTTTCACTAGTTACAAGATATCTGTCAACATGTATTGGACATGTGTTCCATTGATTTTAACATATTGACATTGACTCCATACAGTCATTCATTCAATCATGAGTAGGTTTTACGCCGCTTTTAAAATTTAGCAATAATCCAGCAATATCACGACGGGGTACACCAGAAATGGGCTTCACACATTGTACTCATGTGGGGAATCGAACCCGAGCCTTCGGCGTGACAAAGCAAACGCTTTAATCCACTGGGTTATCTCTATGGACAGTACTTTCGACTGGTTTGACTTGTGTTCGGCGCTATTAACCACTAGGCTACTCATTTGAACCAACTCGTGTTATACCGGGACAAGCCGAATAGCGACTCGTGCCCCTCTCGTGGCCATTTTTTCCGACTGGGTTCAGTCTGAGCGTAAACGGGCATAGCTGAAAGAATTGTCAACTCGTTGCGTAAGGATACACGTCATTCGTGACCAACTCGTTTTATTCTGGGACAAGTGGAAAGTGAGTTTCCAAAGGGGCGAGTGGTATCTGATGATGTAAATTTTACTGCAAATATTAAACCGGTTTGAAAACAAGACACTGCTAACTGTTGTCTGAGAATGTATTCTGCCGATAAAAGTACTGTGCGACAATGTTTTTAGTAAGCAGCTTTACGGAAACTGTGAGCGAACACAATGCTGCCCAATACCTGAACGACATAAATGTATAAAAAATGGATTTATATGCTTATGTATAACGTTATGCATTCGATACCAAAAAAAATAACGTGCCTTATATGACGAAAACTGATTTTCCTCGATGACGTCAAAAGATGACAGAGGTTACACACGTACACATAAAAGGGTCATAACTCCGCTATTCTTGGGTGCGCGAAATACGTGTAGCAGGTTATGGAGTCATCCCGCCCCTACTTGAGGGGTTAGCCTCTTTGGTCATGTCGACAAGACGTCCGACCTCTGATCATCAGGTCCGTAGTTCGAATCCCATCACGGGACTCGGAAATATTATGGCCGCTACATACGCATATGTCGGAATGTGCACGTTTTTGTGTTTTGTTAAAGAGGAACCAAACTATTCCAACACAAATATCGATATTGAAACTGCATACATTTAGGTATATAAAAAACATAAGAAATTATGAAATCGTACTTTATAAAAAAAGAAGTAATAGCGAAATGGATGGCCCTATCTAACCTACTAATTAGTCCTCAGACTCCAACATTCCCCTGATGGTGCAAGTGTAATTTGACATATGTTGCACCATTTAAAATGGGGCACTGGCCTTTTCATTAAATGTAATGAATTACTGAAAAAAATGACACCATTTTATTTGACGTCGTGGCCAAGTTTTACGTCTTTGACAACGTCGGAGAAAGACGACATTGGTATTTTGATTAATATATATCGCCCCTACATTTCGTTCGCGGTATGGAAAATGTCGATGAGTAAAACGGAATTTGATGCTTTTTCGACGCATAAAATGACTGCTTTTACCATGAAAATAATGTCTTGAATAAATGAAGCATTAGATTGTTTACCATGTATTTTAATTGGACAAGATACGCACCTGTTTGGCATAAATCTTACGTATCAAATACCCAAAATAATATTTCGAAACAAACAAAATCATCTTCAATATTGGACATGTCTTTGTTCATGATTATGTGATTATTTCTGGGTATCTCATCTCAGAATGATACAATAAAAGGATGCGAAGAAAGCTCCTTTGGTACAGAATTATCAGGATAATCGTATAAGGTTCGGCCAACGGGGTACATGTCACTTTTTTCATATATCTTATACTTTTTACAATTCTTGGAGAAAATGAAATCGTTTGTGACTATAACGCGCACAATGCGAATCGTTAGACATCACCGTTCTATCAAGCGACATAAAAAAAACAATTCCAAGCCCAAGACAATTCTTCTAAAAATCTGTGCATATATTTTAACAAAAATATAACCAATTTGTTAAATTAATGTATTCAGTTTTAGTTTTAAAATAAAATGAAACGGCTAGTCATTAACCTGTTTATATGGAATTACCATAATTGACTATGACACTCCAAAGTAATAAGTACATGTGTCATTTCACCTTCTAACACCTGTCTAAAGGGAAGAAATATCGAATACAACCCAATAAACTTCTTATGTAAACAGTGTTCAAACAAACACTAGATTATCAGAGGTTTATACATTTTGCGGCCTATATCTACGTATATCAAACTGAACATTGACAAATATCCATGGTGGAATTAACTGAAATGTATAAAATATATGCAAAATCTACATCATAATAGAAACTTTAAACAACAGGATACAATGAACTTGTGTACTTTCATTCAACATGTTCCAGGACCTTCACCTCAAGGAAATTACGTACACATATGTACAACAAAGTTGACGTATGACATCACTACCGGTCACCGACTTTAATAAAATCGCGTGTTCACTGACAACACTAGGCGGGATTTAACGAGGGGACATTCGTTGATTCAGGGACTGTTAATGCATATAACTGTGACATTAAGTAATCAGAAACATTCTGACAATCTGTGTACTGTTATTTATTTTATGTTTTTCATTGAAACCAAGAGGAATAGTCGAGATTCCGATAAATACCGTTGTCGTTGTGCGTGTTTTGCGTCAGTCATGACGTCACGTCGTGCGGTGGATGGAAACTTTGACAATTTCTGTTGAATTTACCAAGTCATTGCAATGTATCTACATGTATTTTTTAATTCCCTAATTCTTGCTACGATTCTCTCCCCATGCATATTCTGAAAATGTTGAGCTAATGTATGCAACGGATAGACGAATGGATATATTCCAGCTCAAAATAGGAGAAAATGCTACACAGTGTAAAATATGACTTTTGCTTTGTTTACATTTCAAACAAGTGCAGTTTTCCGACCGCAGCGTTCATTTTCACACCTAATTTATATTTCATGGTTTCATCTAGACACTCTTAAGGTGACAAAGATCATTTGTCATTTGATTCTAAAATGTATGAGGAACTCAAGGATGTATGTATCGCAGCTGAGTTTGAAATATACGTGATGTTTTAGGCGTCTCATTACCGGCATACGTGAAACGTGATTATGTGAACACTATCCAATATGGCGGAAAGTTCACTTCGGCGTTCGTGTTTGCGTATTTTCGAAAAAACATTCTAAACGATTCTTGGGTTATCGTCAACGTTTTAGAAGGATCCTTGGTGGTTTGCTAAAAGACAGATACCCGTGATCACTGATATGCTATTTGTAAAATTCATTTCTCTGAGTAAATATCCGAAATTTAGATTTCGAAACATGCTGTAAATAACACCGTGAATGGTGATTTAGCAATGTGTAAACAATGGCGACATTTACGATGTACCCAATTTTCAGTACTTTTGCTTTGCCTAGAATGACAGTGGATGAGATCATAGAACAGGGAATTTACCACAGAATTAAAAACTATGTCGTGTATTTGTGTGCATGGTGTATGTTGAATTGTATTCGCCTTCAAAGTGAGGGTTGAAGAGGTGGGACATCTCTGGCATCCAGGGTGGGGATAGTTCCCCCATTTATCGTATATATTCCAAATGCTATTGAAAACACATCGGAACTTTCAGTATTATACAGTATGATTGGCCACATTTAACTGTATCTTGGGCATATTTTTAAAAGAAACACATATGTTAAATCAAAAATTATTCCTGAGGGATTCTTTGACCGAAGTACTTGAAGTCATACGCGCATTCTGATTGTATGTATTTTCGCACATTACGTTCATCGATAGGGGGACGAGTCTTCTTGCAGGTTACGGAAAGGGGCGAGTGGTGGCGAATGCACCCGCCCCTTTCCGTGAACGCCATTCGTTCCGGACTGGCCCGAGTGATCACGACACATATACCGCTACTATGACGTCACAGAAACATGACGTCATAGACAGTCAATATGACAGCTTGATTGACTTGTAAATACGTCGCGTCACGTATCTCTACTATTTGTCACGTCCGACAACGCTCCTAAATGCCTGTTTGTAAGAAAGTCAACTCGGGCGTGGCACCGCCTCGGTCAGGTAAGATGAATGTCATGATTTTAGTCTTTATTCATCAAGGGGACAATTATGTAAATGTAAAATCTAAGTATGTTTTTTGTTAAAACCTATTTCATTCAGAAGTAACAGATTCGTAATAGCTATCGAAATACATAGTATGTAGTATACTTGATTCTAAAAGAATATTATCATATATCCACTGTTTGCCCTTTCCATCACCCACACCCCATTACCAGTTAAAACAATATGCATATGTGTCAAATTATTTTAGTTTTGTTATATTTATCGTCACCCTAAGATTGTATAAGTTCAACATTACGTATGAGACGTCATACAGTTTCTAGTTATTCCGGGTTAGGAAACTACATTACGTGATGTACCGATTAATCAAACTCTCAATACATCACAATAGTCCACTTCCCGATGACAAATTAAAACATAAATATACTTCTGGAAAAAAAGGAAGCATACCCCCATGTTTGATGGCGGCTAAAAATAAAACAAACAAGAAATGGTTATTCGATGAAGATGTATTTGATAGAGGGATCATATGCTACATCACTTGCATCATGTCAATAAGTCTCTTACAACAGGTCATCAAAATAACGTATTTCTTTACGTTTGTAATTTTATGGTCAAACATATTTTTTAAATGCACACTTTGTTTTGCTAGGCAAATTCATTAACGTCGCTGCTGCGCAACAATATCGATAGTATGGACAGACGGAATAACATGAAAAGAAAAAAAACTTTCATTCGTTTACTTTTAATTTCGTTTCGAGCCAAAGGACACTTTGCTTTAAGAGACTCGTGGGTATCCGTCCAGCAATGATAACTCACTACTTAACGTCCCAAGCTAGGTCTTTAGTATGTTTGTTTGTTGTTTAACGCCGCACTCAGCAATATCCGAGCTAGAT